AAGAACCTGCCTGCCAATGCAGGAGATACAGGAGACTTGGTTCCGATCCCTGGGTCAGGAAGATCTCCTGATTAGAAAATGGCAACCTGCTCCAACATTCTTGCCTGGGAATTCCCATGGACAGGGGAACCTGGAAGGCTACAATCCACGTGGTCACAAAGAGTAGTGCACGACTGACATAGCACAGAATAAAAACGAGCTGTGATGTGTGCATCTGGGAGCCCTTATTCAGGCTTGGTGTTTGTTCCTGGCAATTTCTTCTCCCATTGGCCTATATGCAGGACACAGAAAGTGGGTTAGGCACTAAAACTACAATTCCTGCCTTTTCAGGAATCCAAACCCTGCAGGCAACAAGTTTGAAGTGGAGCCACAGAGGCCTCCAGGTGAGGCTCAGGGAGATGCTGCCAGAGAGGTGATGGGAGGAAACTCTGGAGCAGCTGAGGAAGCTGCTGGGCATACCTGCTTCGGAGTGCAGCCTCCAGCCTGAGGCCGGAAACAGCCAGAGTCTGGGGAGAGGATAAGCCATCTCCGCATAAGAGACAGAGGTCCCTATGAGACTCTGAGCCTGCTGGGCTGGGCATCTTCCCTGGGTCTTTCCCAATCAATAGCGAGCTGGCCTACAGTGCAGGATCTCAGTCACAACTACCTATCAATTAATCTCAAGACTCCATCTCCAGCGGGGCGAAAAGATGACATCCTTTCACTGATGAGTTTAACCTTTGCTTTATTCTGGTTCATGGGAAACACTCAAGCTGATGTTTATCCAGGTTCATGGGAAACACTCAAGCTGATGTTTATACAGGCATTGGTCCCAGAAAGGACGGTAGGTTAGTGCCTTCCCATCTGTGACCTCATGTTCTGGATTCCAAACACCTGAATAAAACCCCATGCTGAGAAGCATCATAAAGCTGTCTTTCAAGGTTTTTGCTCTTGGCTGTAATTCTCTTAAGCTGTTGTGGCAAATGCCTGTTACCCCAGGCTGATCAAAAACTAGGCATTTAATTGAATAGTAGGAAAACAAATTACCTCTTATTTAATAAATGCAATTTGGTAAACAAAGTCTAAATTTGGAGTCCGTTTGAGGGAGGACAGGAAAAGCATCACCAGACTTTTGGTAGCAAGAGATTGAAAACAATGACCTAAGAATAGTCTGACACAGCCATTCAACCTTTCATTCATGCATGCATTCATTCATTCCAAAAGTGCTTATTAAGAATCTATCAAATATGCCAGATGCTGAAGGCTTAGTTACGGGTAAAATGCAGTACTTGGCCCTCCAGATCAGAGCCTAGAGAAACAGGCAAACCCACAATGAGGCGGTAACAATACATCACAGTAACTGCTGTGCTAAGGATACATGCAGACTCATAATAGGCTTCTTGCAGAAGATGATGTCTGAATTGGGTTTCAGAGAAGCAGTAGGACATTCTACCTAGCTGCCACACATTCAGATGCATAATATGTAGTAGACTGAGTAATTGCTTACTGGGTCATACTGCGTCAGTTGCCTAGGCTCCAACGCAGGGTCTGATGTCATTTGCATTCGGTCTGATTCAGTGCAGTAGTAACTCAAGGTATGCACAAACTGGAAAGCATTGCTGTGTCCTATGTGGAAACCATGTCACCTGTGAAGTGAGTGGGAAAGCTGAAGCCATTAGCCTGTGGAAGAAAAGCGGAGGGGAGTAAATAGATTGTATTCCGAAATCAGAAACAGATCCACTAAGGAAGAGTTGCAAACAAAACCAGGGAAGAACTTTGGACTACTATTTCCAAAGTGATCCTCCATGGACCATGTAGAGGAGATCTGAGCAAAAACTGTTTCATGGTTATAAAAGATTGGAATATGCAGAGTTTAAAAGCCTGATTTCTGCAGAACTTATCAGTACCTTTATTTCAGTAATGTGTACTGTGAGACTCCAGTAGGAGGATATAAGAATTTTTTGATCCAACACACCAGTACTGAGTCCCTACTTTTGTGCCAGGTTCTGGCATACACACTCCAGACAAAGAGATTCACAAAAGAGACAAAATCCTTTCTCTGGAGGAGAGTAGTGAGAATGGATGGCAGTAAACAAACAGTGGATCCACATTTCCCAAATCGATTGGTCCAGAAACCATTTTGTAAAGAAGCATTCCTTCATTCCTGTGTTCCTTAGAACAAGATTTTGGGGAAGGAGTTAATTAAGAGAAGCTTGTGATGAAATAGAGGGATGATTTCCCCAGATTCCAGAACAGAAACTGTGCATGCTGATTTACAGCATCTACACGGATGCCATAGAGGGCATTTGAAGACCGGAATATGTGATCCATAACAGCTAAAGTGTTTTTGACTCAACAAAACTGGATATTTCTAGAGTACACTTTCAGTCTGAGATTTTATTTGGAGTAATTTGTTATTTGCTGGCACAAACTGATTAAGGAATACCAAACTGTATGACTATCCATGAAGCCATAGGACCTGTTTAAAAGAAAAAGCAGGTTGTTGGTGTGTACACAGATAAACATGATTCCGAAAGAACAGTCTTCTGGTCATAAACCAAATGATGAGTTTGAGAGGGTTTATATTCTCCTACCCCATCCAAATGAAGTTTACAAAATCCCGAGCCTCTCAGCAAGACCCTATGCTCAGAAACTTGGGTTCAGAAGGATCTCTGGTTTTCATCTGGACTTGGATCATTTTTTTTTTCCCCCACACATCAAGGCATGCAGGAACTTAGCTCCCTGACCAGGGATTGAACCCATGTCCTCTGTAGCTGAAGCGTGGAGCTTTAACCACTTAAATGCTGCTGAGCGGCTAGGGAAGTCCCAGAGGGTTTAAACAACTTGCCCAAATTCATAGAACTGGAATGGAGTTTGGAAAATTATGTTCCCAATGGTACTGGGCACACCTCAGTTTGTGTTTGGGGTCTGCTGTGAGCAGCAGTGTCTTTCCCACCTCTTCTCTGAGATAGAAGACTGAATTCTGATATTTCCAAACAGTGGAGAGAATTTCTGCCCAAGAAGCCAATAGGAGATCCGCAGAGGGTAGGCTCCAGTCTCCACCTTCTGAGATGCTGTTCTAAAAACATTTAACCCCAGAGCTCAAACCCTCTGCCCCAGTATGAACCGTGCTATTCGGTTTTCTAAAACACTGGTACCTGCTTCCTTCTCTTGGATCCAGCTCTCCTCCTCCATACCTCCTCCTGATATTTGTTTTTTCCTCTGCGGTTGCCTCCTTGGCACTCAGTGCTGAAATTAGCTTCAGTATCCTCAGAGCATATACTGTACTTGCTCGTGTTGGCACCTGTGACTCCATCTTTTATTGTGTGGCTGGAGTAAAGGTTTTCAATAAATTCTACCAGTGATAAAGCCCTGCTCTAGAATTCTTTAGAGCCTATGAATTTAGGTTATGTTGAGTATCTCCATGAAGATTAAAAGGAAGAGTCCAACAGTGGACTCATGGAATGGGCTAGTGGGCTCCATGAGATCAAAGCCCCCAACTCCGGCTCCAGAGTCAGAGAGTCTGACCTGGCTGCAGAGAAGGCTGATGGCACATGAGTATAATTCTTTGAGGCTCATGAAGTTCCAATACTTTAGCCACCTGGTGCAAAGAGCCGACTCATTGGAAAAAACCCTGATGCCGGGAAAGATTGAGGGCAAGAGGAGGAGGTGACAGAGGACGAGATTGGTTGAATGGCATCACTGATGACTCAATGGACGTGAGTTTGAGCCAACTCCGGAAGATAGTGAAGGATAGGGGAGCCTGGCGTGCTGCAGTCCATGGGGTCACAAAGAGTCAGGCATAACTTAGTGACTAAACAACCACCACAACATGGGTATATGCAGGATTCAGGCAGGAGGACCTCCAAGGTGTTCTATCAGCTCTCATAGGCTGTTATTTCATGACTGCATCATCTTATCTCAGTCTAGCCTATGGTCTAATATTGGCCAAGATGAGAAGCTGGCAGAGAAAAGAAGATGCAGTGAGTGTGTTCGGAGGCAGAGCTTTCTCTTCCCCTCTACAGAGGTACTACATCTTCCACCTCTTCTCAAGAAATCTTTTGGGGGAGGGGATGAGCCTTGCTGTCCTTATATCCCTCCAGCTCCAACTCTCATGTTTTGGGTCAAAGAAGTTAAAATTGGAGCTGTGAAGGGTGTTGCATTTGGCTGGATCCTGAACTGGTTGATCTTGTCACCTGCGGCTAAGATGTCAGGAGACAGAGTTCCCTCTGCCAAATCTGCTGGGTCTTCCTAAGCCAGTGCTATTTCTGCATCCATGTGACCACACTCAATGATCAACCATGGTGGTTGTGCCTTTCCCCACCTCCTGCTGTTTAACCCTGTGAAATGGTGAGAGGCTGCAACTGCTTGCATTTTTGCCTGAAGGAAATTAAACACATATATCTATATGAAAATATAGATATATAACAGTCTATGGGGAAAAAACATTCATCAAGTGTAAAAGGTCTAAAAATCTCCATCAAGTTTAAGTAGCAGATTCTGGCTCATTTGACTGTCCATGAGAATTGCTAAAAAACAAAGAAAGAAAAAAAACAATGCAAGCCATTGGTCCCCAAGTCTCTCCACCACCGTTCAAAGAAAGAGCACATGAAAATGCGGAATCTACTTGGCTGGAGAGGACCATTTCTGTGGGCTTTTCAGCTCTGTTTTCCCTTCTGTTATTTGTATTGGTTTTCTTTCTCTCAAACCAGGTATGTGCCTGGTTAGAGAAAGGCTCTTGGTTAACATTTGCAAACCGACAACTCTCCCAATACCTGAACTGAAGGAATTCAGTGCACCTACACAGAGGAAAGGGAAATGTCCCCCTTGATATACTGTTTTTCCAGGTTGTGTTTCTGGGAACCAAATGCTAACTTATCGACTTCTGTAGGTTTCACTGAATACAACTGCATGGAATGCTGTTACTGTTTGCAATGCAACCTAATCTGAACACATTGCCTTTCTTTTTAATCCAAAGGGGACTAGCAGGTTTATTGTGTTTGCATGTGCTTTCCCCCTAGACTCTGGCTGCCCTAACAAGAAATTCAATAAATCTACTTCCAAACCATCTTGCACAAGCTTTGCATGTCCAGTCTGGGCCTGAGGAAATTAACAAGAGAATAGAACATACCATCGACTTGCGGAGTGGTGATAAATTGAGAAGAGAGCATATCAAGCCATTCTCACTGATGTTTAAAGACTCCAGCCTGGAGCACAAGGTAGAGCTGGGTCTCCACAGTGGCTCTTTTTCTGAAATAAATTGTCGTAAATGTTCATGGGACTAGAGAGAGAGCCCAGGGGCTGCGGTTTTGGTTGGTGTGTTTGTGTGTGTTTGTTTGGTTTGGTAATGTCTTTTCTTTTTCTCTTTGAAAATCATGAGTAGACCGAAGGCCATGAAAGGAGATGCTGGTTAGATAAAGAGAGTGTCAAGTTTGCTCTTTATGGAAAAGATGATGGAAAGAACAAAGAAGTTCCTTCCACTTTAAGATCATTAACCCAAGTGACGTTAGCACCCACTTACCTTTCATTTTAGGTGAATCTGCTACCCTTGTATCCTACTATATGAGGTCACCCAATAACCTAATGCAAGCATTAGTGATAAACACTGTCTTTGTTAGATTGTAGACTCCTGTTCTCCCATTTTCGCAGTTGTCCGCTGCTCAGAGTTCCCCTGATGTATGCAGAGTACATGGTAGTGGATTCAGAATTGGGTTCCAGTTCCACCTCTGCCACTTCCTTGCTGTGTGACCTTCAGTAAGTGAAGGAGTCTCTGAGCAGGAGATCCTCTCTGTACAATGAGGCTGATGAACATGCCTCCCTGATCATTTAGGATGAAATGCTCCAGGCAATGCCTTGATGAGATCAGCTGCTCAAAAGAGGCCACCATTACTCTATTGATGATGACATGGTTTCCTGCCCCTTCTCCCCTCCCCCCAGCACCAGACCATGAGTGGGTGCTGTCCCTGGGTAACTAGGCTGCTCGTTTGCACTGATGGAAGCTGACAGACCTTCCTTGGCTGAGCACAGGAGGTGTTCGGCATCTGCAAGAGCCTCCAGCAAGAACAGCAGGGGATTTGCAAGCAAATTTCAGGAGTTTGATTCGATACTCTGCAAAGCTCCAGTGAGCAATTTTTTGCAAGTTTGCTCAGCTGCCTGGGAGATTCTACTTTGCTGGGTTTGGAGAATTCACACTTCCAAGCACATGCTTTATTCCCAGTGAGTCTCTTTGATAACTATCCGAAGGTTGCAAACTCCAAAATTAAGATCTTCACCTGCGATTTACAGTTTCAATGTATTGTATCTATGTACTAACAAAACAAAAGGAAAAGAAACACTTTACCTATTTAACAACCCCCTCCCCAACCATTGCAGGTGGATTTTTCTTGTTTGTAATATAATTAAATGCATTTTCTATCCTGGCTTCTCCATTGAAGGAGCTAGGAAAGACAGGGTGGTCTTACAAAGAATCTTCTCAATTAGGCTGTGTAAATACCTGTGTCCAGAGCTGTACAAAAACTCCTTTATTCATTCTTGCTGAGGATGTACTTGCTTCACTGATGACCTGACCCCTGCAAGACTAGAGATCATTTCTAATGTAATTTTATTCAATAATGTCTGGTGCTGACCTGCAGGCACTGGTGTTGGAGGGGGAACCGATCTAGAGGAGGCACTATATATCAGAGGTTGATTTCTGTGACCAGGGAGGTTCTTCTAGGAGAAGCAAGGGACAGCATCCCCTCCTCAACAGACACGTGGGGATTAGGTCACTGAGAGTCCAGTCTTACACCATCTAGCACGTGCTCTGCATCACATGGGCTCCCAGGGGCGGGCAATCGAGGCACACCGGATAGTCACTCCCCTCATGTCACAGAGACAGTCCTCGTTGACTCCTGCTCAGAGACCCTCTCGGAGGCAGCACTACTGCTGAGCAGAGGATGTATCAAAAGTAGTAACCAGTGGTTATTTCACCCTGGAGAAGGACATGGCAACCCACTCCAGTATTCTTGCCTGGGAAACCCCATGGACAGAAGAGTCTGGCAGGTTACAGTTCATGGGGTCACAAAGACAAGAACTGCAGTTCACGGGGTTGGACATGACTAGAAACTGAACAACAGGCACCATTCTAAGTTATATGCTTTCCTGGTGGCTCAGTGGTTAAGAATCTGTCTGCCAAGCAGGAGATGCAGGTTCGATTCCAGGGTCAGGAAGATCCCCTAGAGAAGGAAATGGCAGCCCACTCCAGTATTCTTGCTGGCAAATCCCATGGACAGAGGAGCCTGGCAGGCTACAGTCCACGGGGTCACCAAGAGTCAGACAGGAGTTAGTGACCACATAACAATTTCTAAGCTATGAGCACAAACTGACCAACAATGACAGTATGAAATATTGGGTTGGCCAGAGTTCGTTAGGGTTTTTCATAAAATGTTACAGAAAAACAAACAAACCTTTGGACAACCCAATAGATGTTATAATGAGCCTCCTTTTATACTTGATGAAATGGGGGCATGGAGAAATGATTCAGTAGCCCACCCAAATTCAAGCTGTCAGTATAGGGACTGCAGTCTGAGCTCACTGTGACCCCAAAGCCAGTGCTCTGGTCTGGTCAGGACACTGCCCCTCCCAGGAGCCCTGACGATCTACTCCCCCAGGCCCTTGTTTAGAGAAGACAATCCTCTGCCATCTTCATTCTCTTCTCTTTGAACTTTGGATGAAGTAGAAGGCGCAGGGCAGGGATTTGGGAGAGAGGTCAGGTAAGAAAGGTCCCAGAAGCCTTACCAAAATAAAAGCAGAGGCTTCAAATCCACAGGACTCCAGAATTAAAGCATAGCATCTGTGTGCATCTAGTCTGTGGCCAGTGTTTCGGTATACTGGCCTATTGCATCCTCAGGGAAACATTACTATCTTGTTCACTTTTGTAAGAGAAAACTGAACCTCTTAGAGGTTAAGTAGAGGTTATAGATCTCAGAATCTGGTTGCCATATTTCATTGACTCTAAGGTACCATCGACTGTGAGGTGTTTGGTTTCTATGCAGCACTAAGAAAAACCACCCAATGGCCAGAGTCAACAAGGAAACTCACATGCCTCTCCCTGGGTACTGGTTAGGTGAAAAAACAAGCAAACAAAAAGCCTCTCCAAAAAGTGGAACTCCAAAATGGAATCCACTTGGTTTTGCCACCTGAGTTCGCGCTCTGAATGTGATCTTTTAAAAAAAAGTCAGGCAGAGAATTTAAAATGGTCTCTGCCAGCAATACAGGACTCCTAGGTTTGATTCCTGGGTCGGGAAGATCTGCTGGAGAAGGGATAGGCTGCCCACTCCAGTATTTGGGGCTTCCCTTGTGGCTCAGCTGATAACGAATCTGCCTGCCATGCAGGAGACCTGGGTTCCATCTCTGGGTTGGGAAGATCCCCTGGAGAAGGAAAAGGCTACCCACTCCAGTATTCTGGCCTGGAGAATTCATGGACTCTAAAGTCCAAGGGGTCACAGAGTCGAACATGACCAAGAGACTTTCACTTCACTGGGTTCATATTGCCCCCTGGTGACCAGTAGCAGCAATCACAAACCTCCCTGGAGGAATTGAAGTCTTCACTGACAGTAAGAGAACTTTCTGATTTCAGTGTTAAAAGGTAGGGTAAAATTTGTGCATCTTAGATTTGTTGAAATATTTACTGTATTTGTGACACCAAAGTCTTTTTTCTTCCCACTGCCCTACCCTGCTTTTTGAGAGCAAGTTTGGACCATAAAGGTATATTTTCTGAGAGAAAAACTGGAAATGGAAACAATGATTTTTACCTTGGAAATTCTGTAGGAAGAAAAAGCTTCATTCTGTTTGAACAATATAAGTGAAACTGTTTTCCTCTCCATGTTTATTTGTGAATTGGAGAACACGAAAAACTGCTTTCAAATGTCATCCAGACACTTCTTGGTTACATTAGCTTATAAAAATTAGCATATGTAGCAAGTGTTATGTGAAATGGGACATTTTACCTGCCTCCCAGTATTACATAAATACTTGTTAAGCGCTTGAAGACTCAGGTTAGTAAAGAGAATCTTTGAGGAGATTGCCTCACCCTTGCAACTGGCCTCGGGCTATATGTTGTGGATCCTAAGATCCAAAAGACATGGGTTGCTTTTGGTCTGACTCTTGGCGGTGGAGTTTCTGGAGAGAAGAATGTAATGTTCTGCTTACTCCCTGCCATGTCATCTCATGGTGGTTCACGCATGTCCACACAGAGAAATCTTCCGAGTTAAGCTTCAGACAGTATGTTCATGACTCCTGTGTCTTAACCAAGTTTGACCAGCACACTTTCCTTCTCTGTCCTCGGGTTTTCTCATCTGTGAAATGAGATGGTTGGGCAGCTCCTGGTAGCTTTCAGCAGTCAATGCTTTGAGGCTGTGAGTTCCTGGAGGTCATGATGAACACATGTCCTGGTTTGCCTAGTTTACATCTGTTTTCTCAATGTAATTATAAATAGCAGCTCCATTCACTCAAAAATCACACGGGTGACAAGTCATGTGACCCCAGGCTTGGATCTTGGCCAGGTTAGAAGTAGTGATTCTCAACATCTTCACCCCCCTGCAACCACATGAGATTTCTGGGAAGACTCCAGAATGGGGGCAGAGCCCTTATCCAGTCATCTAAGGTCCCCTCCACTAAAGAATTTTCTGCCCATCTTTCACTTCCAGCTAAAATTTCCTAAAGGGAGCTTACAGATCTCACAGGCGAAAAAAAATTAGAACTGTGATAAAGAGATGTAGGAATCATGGCATTTGTCACATACTGTCAATCATATTGGGTTTTTTCTTCTATTATATATGAATTTTTTTGCTAAAAAAGGTAATGCATTTGCCCTAGTGAAAGCTCATACCAAGCATATAAGGCAAAATGAAGAAAATGACACCTCTTATGATCTCAGCCCACAATACCCATTGTTAATATTTTGTCATGCATCATCCTAGTCTTTCATGAGTGTGATTCTTTTTACTTACCCGTGCAATGTGTCTATTAAAACAGGGCCATTTTATACATCATGCCTTGTAAGACAGTGTTAAGCATTCTTCACTTGAACTTTTCCCCACAGTACTAAATATTTAGTTACAAAATATTTTTTATAACTGCATACTATTCCCATGCATATTTTAACTACCTTTGGCTTTTGTTCCCTCAGTTTTTAACTATTACAAATTATAAATTGCATTGCCATTACCAGGGTCATAGT